CACACATAACCACTAATTGCTTTAATTATAAATCCCTGAATTATTATCATCAAATAACTCAACAAAACACTCTTCAACAACCAAAATATTACTTTTATTATTATTTTACTCATAACTTGAATGCTACCCATCCAAATTTAATAAATTTAGCATCAAATGAAAGATAATTAATCCCTCCATCACTCCCTGTACATAACAAAATTAATTTTGTTTATCTACCACTTCTAATAAGAGTTTTATTGCTGCGCTGACACTGAAATTAACTGCAATGTTTCAACTTGAAGTGAAACTCATCACAATTTCCATAAAATATAAGTGCAGCCGACAACGGCATATTAAATATATTGCTTGTTATCAACTAATTGCAATATGCGCTGATATTGCGTCCGCGAGCGCGATTTTAATTAACAAACGGCGCGTAACGAATTGGAACGAAATTAAAGCCTCAAAGATTGGAAATGCGCGCGCTGCGCGTTCGTTAAAACTTTTAAATGAACACACACACATACAAAATGCAAATAATTGCACATATAGATTATATACAGAGTGTTGCAATAATTTATTTTTGTGAATTTTGCGTTTTTGATGGATTTTTGTGTAAATTTTGATTAAATTTTTGTATTTTTATTGTTTTTGATGGATATTTATTGTTACACTTGGTATATTTAATGGTTGATTTGGCTGATAGTAATTTTGCATTGCGGGGATGATTTTTGAAGGGTTTGACTGGTCGATGCGGCGAATGGCGGATGGGATTTGTGCGACGCGCAGCCGGTGTTTGATTTCAATTAAATTTTAATTAATTCCACCGTTAAACAATAACGGCGTTGCGCATTCTAAAACGCACGTGTTATGTACGCACGTTTTGCATACAATTACGGTAAATATTAGAATTACAACAAATATTATAGCAACGATTTAATGAAAATCAAAATTTTAAGTAAATAAAATGTTTTTTGTTAGTTTTTCTAAGATTACGTTCGAATTAATAAAGGGATTGATAAAATCTTTGAATTATCTGATGTAGAATTAAATTGTTTATCTATTGGTATAAGATTTATTAAATTATGTCAAATAGTTCAAAAGTTATTAACAAATTACTAAAATGAATCATTTTTAATGTTAATTATTTGCTTTCAGTGACATTTTTACAAAATTATAATAGATATTTAAATAAAATTCTCCCTAATCGATAAATAATTTAATTGTTTATATCTATACAGAATTTCATAAAATTCTTTCAAATATTTCGAAAGTTATAAACAAATTTCTTAAAATAATAATTTTCAATTTATAATTATTGCTTTTAATTGCATTTTTCTAATTTGCCACTAAACTATAACAAATATTTAAACAAAATTAAGACAAAGTGATGTAAAATTAAATTATTAATACTCACTCGAAATTTCATCAAATTCTATCAAATATTTCAAAAGTTATAAACAAATTTCTAAAAACAACATTTTTAATCCATAATAATTGCTTTTAATTGCATTTTTTAAATTTGCCATCAAACTATAACAAATATTTAAACAAAATTAACACTAATCTATGCACAATAAAATTATTTATATCCATTCCTAATTTCATCAACTTCTATTAAATATTACAAAAGTTATTGCAATTTTTTCAACTTTTACAATACCTAATTGATTATTTCACTAAACCCGCTCAGATTTTGATTAAACCGTCATCTCTTGATGTGCGCATTGTGCACGCCCGGGATGGCAGTTGTTATTCGGCGATTATTAAACGCCACTGATGCCACTAATGATAGAGAGCAGAATGCAACCGATTGCAACAACCCCTGATGCCTGCGAATGGATGAGTGTCGCATACACGGCGCGCATATTTCATTAACGACAACATGACTGCAGCCTACAAACGCACACGCAGACGCTTTTAATTAAAATATTAATATCGACATGATTAATATGCACGATGCGTGACACATTATCACTCGCCACTATCTATAATCTAGAGTTAAAGGCATCCAAATATAAAAGAACAGGGAATGAATGATTGATTAGGTGGTTTTGTTTAAATAACAGGTGGAGTTTTGGATTTATTTAAAAACAATTTATGGTAGTTTATAGATTGGGTTAGGAGGTATATTTTGTATAAAAATTGTTTTGATATCTTTAATAGTTTCTGAGTTATTGGGAATTTTGTGTGGAAAGTAAAAAATTTGAATTTTTTTGGTTTTTTATTAATAACTTTTAAACTGTATTATATTTAAATTTGCAACTTTGAGAGTTAATGTCAAATAAATTTTCTTTCTTATGACGTTTTAATCTATATTTAATAATTAAAATTGGCTGAGTTATAATGAATTTAAATTTGAAAACTATTGTATCTAAATATTTACTTATGAATATTGCAATATTTGTTTAAAACTTTTATAACTAAAAAACTAAATTATTGACAACATACATCTTTTCATAAACATCTTTTCAGATAAATTATCTCTCTTATGATATATCCACCAATACTGTGTGATTTCAAACAGCTGAGTTATTCCACATCAAAACTCAGCTTTTTTTGCGCTTGAAAGCAAAACAGAAAAACATGAAATCCAGTAATTGTTTCGCCGGCAGTGGAAAAACCCAATGCTCCGAACGCTAGAAATTAGATTGAAATCTGAATATTTTCCGCTGATCGTGATTTTTCACCCTAGCTTTGCTCGGCTGCTGCTGCGTCGGTTGGAGGATTTTCGCTGATTTTCAGCATTCTTCCGCCGTCGTGCCGCTTTTTTTGCGGATGGTCCTGCAGGACGCGCAGGATGCGACGACCGCACGCCATTACCGTCGACGCTTGTGTTTTATTTTCGCGCTCGTTTCGGCCCCGGCCATGCAGATTCCATTATGTCGGCGGGGTGATTTTTTACGCCCCACTGACGCCGCCTACGCAACGCCGGCAATTTCCATTCAACAATTTCGACAATTACCGCTTCAACGACGGCAAAAATAAAAAACAAAAACGAAAAAATCGAATCAGGCATCAAAACGTCGAGAATCATTATTAAATTGTGATATGTATTTTAAAAGATATTAACAATTGTTTAAGAAACAAGATTTTAATCAGTAATTTATGCTTTTGTTTACATTTTTGTAATTTAAGCGTAAATTATATCAAATATTTCAATAAAATTTATACTAATCGATGCATAATACAATTGTTTATGATTATTCTTAATTTCACTTAATTCTTTCAAATAGTTTAAAAGTTATAAGCAAATTTCTGAAGAACATAATTTTAATCAATAATTCATTCTTTTATTTACATAATTGATAATAATTAATAAAATATAATAAATAATTTAATAAAACTATTATAGATCGATGCAAAATTCAATTATTGATGTCTCAGAGAAAGAATTGGGTAATTATGTCAAATATTTCAAAAGTTATAAACAAATTTCTAAAACGTATAATTTTTAATTTTTAATTTTTGCTTTTATTTACATTTTTCTAATTAGTGCATAAACTATTAAAAATATTTAAATAAAATTGACAGTAATTGACGTAGAATGTAATTGTTTATAACAATTTTTAATTTCAACAAATTCTTTCAAATATTTAAAAAGTTATAAGCAAATTTCTACAAAAAATTATTTTAATCTTTAAATTTTGCTTTTATGTACATAATTGTTAATAATTAATAAAATATTTTACCAAATTTAACAAAAATAACACTAATCGATGCAAAAATAAATTATTAACACATCAGTAAAAATTACTAAATTTCCCTTAATATTTAAAAAGTTATTAACAAATTTCTTTTGATATAATTCTATTTTTATGTTGGGGTTAAAAATCTAAGTGCTCCCGATTTTATTTTTAATTTTTTTTTACTCTCCACTCTCCATGCTACGCCTACGCCTCCAACAAATACAAAATAAGCACAAAAAGCAAACGAAACAAAGCGCCAGCGGAAAACTAGCGCACAACCCGGCCGCAAACAAAAGAACGTCGGTTATAATTGGCGTTGTGCGCTCCTGCAGGACTATATCGCAGGACTCTTCAACTTCATCAACAGCGCACAAAGGGCTTTTCAACTGGTTTTCGAATCGTCATGAATAAAAAACACACTAAACCCGGAAACAGCACGGTGAAAATATGCTTGATGCCAACAATCGCGCACACATTGTGAATAAGGGATGAAAGCATTAAAAAAAATCGAAATTTAATTGAAATCAGAATCAGTCAAAAATTACATGGAATAATATATTAAACTCAAACCGGAAGTCCGCTGGTTATGCATTATCCGTTTAGTCATTGTCCTTTGCTACCCCTGCGGGTTACTAGCACTAGATATTTGTCAACCATTAATACGCCCCGTTTTCCGGCATTCCGGTTTTCCGGTTTAAGGGTTGTATCGTATTCAACATTCAACAGGAACCGCACGTCCTTGATCCAGCTCAAGCGTTCAAGCATACTGATTATTATCATATACAAAGTGTTTCAATTCAAAATTTCATTGATTTTTTAAATTTTTAGTCTAAACTTACATACACCTCGTGTAACTCAAGAACGGATAAACATATTTTAACCATTTAAATTTTTTTAGATTCATTTTATCATAAAATGAAACAATATACATTAAAACATAAAAAATATCAATATACTGAGTGTTTAAAAAATAAATAAAAAATTTTAATCAAAACTTACATACACCTCGTGTAACTCATGAACCGATAAACATATTTTAACCATTTAATTTTTTTTAGATTCATCTTATCTTAAAATAAAACAATAAACTTTAAAACATTAAAAATATCAATATACTGAGTGTTTAAAAAATAAATAAAATTTTTAATCAAAACTTACATACACCTCGTGTAACTCATCAACCAATAAACAGATTTTAATTATTTAAATTTTTTTAGATTCATTTTATTTTAAAATAAAACAATATACATTAAAATATTAAGAATATTAATATACTGAGTGTTAAAAAAATAAATAATTTTTTTTAATTTTTTGTTTGTTTCAGGTTCATTTGTGATTGTCTGGAGAAGAGGTGCTGCCCTCTTGAGTGCAGGCCAACAAATGATCTCACGTGACACACGATTATCACTAAGCGGATATAATCTACAGATTAGAGACATTCAACATTCCGATCAGGGTGATTACACGTGTCAAATCGGTGATGGATCCCCCGGGGACTTGATACATACCATCGAGATATTAAGTAAGTTATAAAAATTACCATATTTTACTCTTTGACAGTTTAATTTGAATTTGCGTGATGTAAATTACTTCCGGTTTTCACAACTCTTCGGGGGTGACAGGTGCTGGCGACTTTAAGAAAGAAATTGTGAAATTCCGGGTTTTCAACCACGTAGAATTCATTTCTTACTTTTTGATGGATTAAAGTTTTTACCTTTGCTCCACAAGTTTTAATTTCTTATATTTTTCCTCCCTTAGGGGTTGTTTATTAAATTTTTTTTGTTTTTTGAGTGAAATTTTTGTTTTTGAATGTTTTACGCAACTATTCCGGCTTCTACGTCTTGGCTGCTGTATTCACTGCCACCGTCGACAACGTATCAGTTGTAATTTTAATTAAAATTGCGGTGGAGGCGGCGAAGGCGGCGGCAAAACGTTTGATTCTGATTAAACGAGAATGGCATGTCGCCGCTGCTGACTGCAACTATTTATAACTATTTTCCACGCAGTGGTGTTGCTGGAAACATAAAACATTATGAACATAACCTCAACCGCAAGTTATGCAACTTGTTGTGCGCAAGCGGCAAGGAGTTATGAGATTATACGACGGCGGGATCAAGACTTGAAAACTTTATTCATTACGCGCGTACAGCTCGGGCGTAATCGCTGCGAACTTGTTTTACATTTTTGCATATTGTGAGCGGAGTAGTGGTGGGATTCTGTTGGAAATTTCAGGATGTGTAGAGTATTAAGTGATTGATAATATTCTGGTAGGATATTGTTGATAGGTTAATTTGTTTTTAATTTATTCATAGGTAAAGTTGGAAATTATTAAAAAATAGTTAAAATTTTGTTTTTTGAAAATATTTGGTATAAAACCGGAAATGACGGAATAAAAATTTTGGAATACATTCTTAAAATACGTAAATTTATGATGGTGAAGAGAAAATTTTAATATTTTGACCTGTTTGTGAGTTATAATGAATTAAAATTAACATAAAGTCAAAAAAAAAAGTGTGGTATAGTCCTAACGGACCTTTCTTACATTTTTGCATATAAGAAGTAAACAAGTGGAGCGATGTTACTGAAAGTTTCAGGATATGTAGAATATTGAATTATTTAAAATATACAGTTTGAATATTGTTGATATATTAATTCGTTTAAAAATTATTTATAGTCTAATTTAAAAATAATGAAAAATCCATTATAATTTTGTTTTTTGAAAAAATCTATTTTAAAACCGGAAATATTGGAATAAAATTTTTAGAATTCACTATTAAAATATGTAAATTTATGATGGTGAAGAGAAAATTTTAAAATGTTGACCTGTTTCTGAGTTATAATGATTTAAAATTAACAAAAAGTCAAAAAAAAAAACCTTTAGAAAAATCCTTTCGGATATTTTTACATTTTTGCTTATAACAAGCAAACCTGTGAAGCGATTTTATTGAAAATTTCTGGATATATAGAATATTAAATTGTTTATAATATGCCATTTGAATATTGTTGATAACTTTATTAGTTTATAAATTATTTATAGTCAAATTTGAAAAAAATGAAAAATTCATTATAATTTTGTTTTTCGGAAAAATTCACTTTAAAACCGGAAATGTTATAACAAAACCTCAAAAACAAATTTATATAATCCCGAAATTTATTATTATAAACAAAAAATAACAAAATTCCCACTCTTTACCAAATTACAAAGCATTTAAAGAGACAAAAAGTCAAAATTTGAAACACTCTCCAAAATTCTCCCCGTTTTGTCACAAAAACCATCCTTAAACAAAGATGTTTTTTGCCGTCGTCTTTTCCGGGGGTGGTACAGCAGGCGGTGTTAATTAACAGCGAAATAGCTCGAGCGCGCTCGGTGCGTTCGCGTCGTGAATCGATTAAACCGCCATCATCCAAGTTATAATGCTATGTAGATTACAAACGTGCTACACACCCACACTCACACATACACATACACAACAAACGAACGTGTAAAACTTTGACGACAAACGGTAGAGTCGCTGATTGCCGCCCCCAGGATGCCGACTCCTTTTTAGCGTCGCTGTAGAGTAACCAAAAGTGAACATCCGAACTCGCTCCGACAGAGGAACATCAAAACAAGCACGCGGCGGTTAACGGGGGTGGCAAGGTGGCAGAGGGGGGTGGTCTTGTCGCCAACCACCAAACCGCCACCTTCCATCACCCGAATAAAATATATAAAGTGTTCAGAAATGCAATTTTAGAGTAAATTTAAAGAGAAGAGTATAAATGAGGTTAGGTTTTGGTAACACTTGGTATATGGAAATGTTCGGGGCGGGCCTGAAGTTTTAATGAATGCAAATTGACTGTTTTGCATTTTAAACTCGCAATCAGCCGAGACGATTGCATAAATATTCATTTCGGCGCGTACAAAGGCTGAGGGAATGCGGTGTCGCCCTCTGGTGCCAACACCACACAATCAAAGATGTAAAACTTACATTTTACCCTCTTTTTTGAGTATTAGAATATTAGGGGGTGATAATAATTACATATAATCCCAGTTTGTTAAAGCTTTTGTATTGCGTGTAATCCAATTTGAAATATGGAAATTTATTTTAATTTCAGTGCCACCCAGTATACAAATGGTCCCGGCGAATGGTCAAACCACTACCCGCAAAGGGGGACCTGTGTCTTTCGAATGCAGGACTACTGGTAATCCTAATCCTGTTGTACAATGGTCAAAAAGGGTAAAAATTAAAAAAATGTTTAAAATTTTTTTTATAAATTTAAAAAAATTTAGGATGGTGTGTTACCAACTGGGATGCAAGTCCAAAGCGGGTATCTATTATCCCTCTCAGATGTACAGCGTCAACATGCAGGGGTTTACCAATGTACAGCTTCCAATGGGATTGGACAACCTGTCACAGCAGAAATAGAACTTCATGTCCTCTGTAAGTCAATTTAAATTCATTATAAATTAATGAACACCCTGTATAAAAATGTCCCCACATAGATCCACCGGAAGTCAATGTTTTACGTTCATGGGTCAACGCTGGTGAAGGTCTGGAAGCACGTCTTGATTGTGTGGTCCATGCTGACCCTCCTGCAGAGGTCACATGGTACCAGAACTCATTCCTTCTACAACCTACAGATCGTAGGGTTATGTCCCATCAAGGACAAACGCATACATTGAATATACGTAACATACAATTATCTGATTTTGGTAACTACAGCTGTGTTGTGGTTAATAGCATCGGAAAGGAAAAGAAATTCATTGAGTTATCCGGAAAACCGGGTCCTCCTGCTATCACAAGCTCGCAGTATTCTATGCCGCATGAATATAACCTTACTTGGAATGTGCAGAGTGTGTTTCCTATCATGGAGGTTAGGATATTATATAGGATGATACAGGTAAATCAAATTGAAAAAAATTTTAAAATTGAAAAAAAAAATTTTTTAATTTTTTGTTTTTTGGGTTTAGATTAATTCTACTTACCACCACCCTGGTCAATGGCATGATTTACTAGTACGTCCACATCAGTCTTTCAACCCCTCAACATCTGAGCGTTCGCAAAGTTATCAACTGCGTAATCTACAAGCAGAGTCTGTGTATGAATGTCTGGTGCAGACGAAGAACCAACATGGTTTCGGGGAGTTGTCTGACTTGCATCAGTGGTTCACTTCTCAGAAGGGTAGGCCCTTTGTGTCGGCCAATACCGCGTCCTCTTTTAATATTAAAAATAATTTGATTGGTGTTATTTTAAGCTGTGTTTTATTGATTTTTATCCATGGCACATAATATTTTATTTAAGTATTTAACTGTATGTATTTTTATATATTTTAATATACCCTGTATATTATGTTTTTGAGCACATGATGATTGTATGATTCGATTGATGAGTTAATGTGAAATGAAATGAAATGAAATTCAAGTCTGCCTTTGATAAGAATAAATAATTATTAAACTATATGTATTAAAAGGTGTTGTGTGTTGTGTGTTGCCTAATTCTCGATTATAACCAAACTTTTCAGCTTGGTGTGGAGAATGGAGTTTTCCACGCTCGGGGAGAGCGGAGGTATAGTTGGTAGGTAATGAAATCTGGGAAATTAGTTCCCGCATGCAATCAACCTTCGTCGCCTTGCTGTGCAGGGGGGTGGTTGGGGTGGTAGTGGTGGTGGCGGTGTGTGGTGTGATGCGCACGGCGTTGTGGCGTGTAATTTCCCAAAACGCCGTCGGACATCAGCCGCACAAGCGTACGAGCGCACATAATGCAACACTATGCATACAAATTGAGAACGACCGCGATCGAAATATGAGATAATAAAGATATTAAGGGCGTTTTCAGTGTGGAGGTTTTTTTTTTCTTTGTGTTATAGGGGATGTGTTTTTGGATGGTGGCGTTTTGGAGTAGTGACCGTTGTATGGGATGAGGTAGGTTTTATGCTTTTTATATGATAACTTGAGTTTTCTTGTTAAATTTTAAATATCCTGCAATTCCTTAGAAGTTTCAATGGTGCTTTGAGGTAGCCCTTTGTCAATTTGTAGATGAAGAGTGTTTCTATAAAATAAGTACTTTATCCTATCCATAAACCTTCAGGAAGTGCCCTAAAACTTCTTTCAAAAATTGATATTTTTATCAATTTTCTAAATTTGTCGTGGAAAACATCCTGTATCTGCTGTAAAATTAATGCAATTTATAATTTCTTTTAAACAGAATATGGATAAAGGGTGCCTCTAAGGAATGTGTGCTATATCTACCCTTTGGACCCTTTGAAAGTGCCCTAAAAATCTTTTCAAAAGTGTATATTTTTTAAGATTTCTAAAAGTTGTCGCGGAAAACACCCCGTATTTCCTGTAAAACTAACACAATATAGAGTTTTCCTACGTCAATTTATCGATATAGAGTGCCTTTATAAAATAAGTACCTAATGCACCCTCAAAATCCCTGGGAAGTACCCTAAAAATTCCTTCAAAAGTTGCTATTATTTGAAAATTTCTAAAAGTTGCCGTGGAAAACACACTGTATCTCCTGTAACACTATTACAATTTAGGGGTTTCCAACGTCAATTTATAGCTGAACAGTACCTCTACAAAATGATTATCAAATTCACCCTCTAAACCCTTGGAAAGTGCCCTAAAAATCCCTTCAAAAGTTGCCATTTTTTGAAAATTTCTAAAAGTTGCCGTGGAAAACACCACGTATCTCCTGTAAAACTTATGCAATTTGGGTTTTTTTTTTTTATCAATATAAAGACAAAGAATATCTCTACAGAATTCGTACTATATACACCCTTTAAACCCTTAGTAAATGCCTCAAACTGCCCTCTTAAAGATGCAGTTTTTTCAATATTTTTTTATTGTTTGATCGAAAAACAGGGTTGAATACTTATATTTTTAAATTATTTTTTGTTTAAAAACAGGGCCAAACTCTTTTTTATAAATTATTTTCTGTCAAAAGTCAGGGTTGAATTAATATAATAAAATAATTTTTGCTCGAAGAACAGGGTCGGACTTTTTTGGTTAAAAAACTTTCGGTCGAAGAACAGGGTCGAACTTTTTGGTTAAATTTTTTTGGCTCAAAATCAAAATAAAACTTTAAATACTTATAACTTTTGAACTAAACGGACTAAATAAAAAATGCTTTCATATTCTTTATGCTTGGAAAATTCCTACTATAAAACCATATTTAAAATTTATTAAAATAATAGATTTCCATAAACGTGAATAACTCATTAATTAGAAAAGTTACAAAAAAATTTTATTAGGATAAACAATGCGCAATTTAATCTTCCTTCCTAATCTGCAATCAAATTTTAAAAAATTCAAAATTTTATTATTTACGTACGTGTGAATTTGCATGTGTGTGAGTCTGCACAATTTCGGGTCGAAACCAATGGTAAATTCAAGTTATGTTATCCGGATCCCAGAATGTCGAGAAGGCTGAAAAGATTTGCGCGATTTTTGATAGAATTTAAAAACAATTTCTTTCTCTCTCTCTTCTGTCTCTTTTTATTTTTACATTCTCTTTCTCTCTCTATCTGTCTCTCTCTGTGTGCACGACAATTTCGGGTCGAAAATGAATAATAAAATTGGTGTGTACTATTCGGATCGCAGGAAGTTGAGGAGGCAGAAAACTTTCGCGGGATTTTTGAGCGACTTCGACATAATTTGAAATCGATTTAAAGAATTTCGATGGATTTAAAAATAATTCCACAACAAAATGATTAAAAATGGGCTAAAATGCTTATGTTTAGAAGCAATTTTAGGGAATTTCTAGGTACTTTAGAAGATGGAATTATATTCAAATTTATAAATCAACTTTTCCTTTATTAATTAGCGTAAGTAATAATCCAATTTATGCAGAAACAATAGAGATACAGAGTGTTTTGTAACGCATGTTTTAAGATGTTGAAAAAATGCTGCATTTTGAAGGCACTTTTTAGGCATTTCTAAGTCATTTGGGAAGCTGAAAAGTATACCAAATGATAAAGCAACTCTTCTTCCTTAAATTACTTAAAATAAATCTTAAATTGAGCAAGAAACAGCGGAGATACGGAGTGTTTTCCAATATTCGTTTGGTAACTTTTTAAAAATAGTTGATGTTTAAAGTCATTTTTAGGGCATTTCTAAGCCCTTTAGGAAGCAGGCAAATATACCACACGATTAAGCAACTCTTCTTCTTCAAATAATCTAAAACAGATCCAAAATTGAACTAGAAACAACCGAGATACAGAGTGTATTCCAACCTCTGTTCTGCGAATTCATAAATATAGTAGATATTTATAGACATTTCTAGAGCATTTCTATATCCTTTAGAAAGCAAAAAATAATAGAACCCGTAAAGAAACTCCTTCTCTTTAAAACAATAAAAAATCCAATAAGATAGACATAAGAATCTTTGAGATACAGCGTATTTTGTATTAGGTACTTTGAAATTTCCCAAATAAGGCAACATTTGAAGGTCGCTTTAAAGGCATTTCTATGCACTTAAAAGAACAGAAAATATCTAATTACGATTAAGCATATCCTTATCTATTATTTACCAAAAAGAACAACAAAATCGAGCTATAAATTATTAAGATACAGGGTAATTTCCATACCAGTAAATTGTTAACTTCATAGTTAGAGTTGAAAAACATGAATTTATAACTTCAAACCTAAAAAAACACTATAAAAATGTTAAATCCAAGAATAAAAATCTTCCCTATTCACTACTCCCTATCATTCTTCCCTAAAAAAATCCCAACCCCACCCCCACACTGATCGGATGCATAAATAAAAACGAAATCAATTGAAACACACATAAATTTGTAAAATTGTGCAAATGAGCAGAAGTAATCGTATGCGAACCCTTCACAAACATAGCGGCGGGTTGTTTGTCGCTTTTTTGGCACCATCACCACCACCACCACACCAACCACCCCCGCCCGAATGCAAATTCATTTTGCGCGCCGCTCGTGCCATTATTCCAACACGCCGCAGCAGCGACAAACCTAGCGGCATGTCGTTCCGAATGTCGAATGTCGAAACATCATCACCCAGCAGAGGGAATTCACCCCTTGACGCCGCCATCCAACTTTACAGCGATTTTGCAACTCGGAATGCAAAACGCGAATCAAAATGGGAATACGAATGCAAATTTAATGTCATTACGCGATGGCACACGTGCGACACATCCACCCCGGCCGCCATTTTGTCAGCGCCATCATTGACTCGTAAAATTTCAGCCAAAAAACGCGATTGCAGTGTATAAACAGTTGAAATGTGCGAAAATATGAAGAGGACAGCTTGAATTAATGACGCGCACACGGTAAACAACGATTATTCCGGCGTTAGTGTCGCCTGCACGCGGACACAAAATGGCCGCGCAGTGGAATACTGTATGACTGCAACACGCACTGCAGATATGCATTTGTTTCATTTCATTATGGAGCTGCATGTGTCATGTCACTGTGCACTCAAATAAATAATGCTGAAATAATAACTTTACACAAACATTCGTATCAGGAGAATACAGATGGACGTAAACTAGGTTATGTTGTAATAATGTGTTATTGTTTGGTATGTCAGAGGTGTCGTGTTTGTAATTATTGTAATTGGCTTGATTGTTAATCAAGGCAGGCTTGGGAGAGCGCTGATAATCATGGCACCGGGGGTGGTTATCTAGCGACACAGATTGAGACGTCTAAATTAGACATTAATGGCGATTAATTAGACAACAACACAAAATTATATCGTGAAGTGAAATATTTAGTTTGAAAGCTGATAACTTGGAAAGTATTCAAGATATTTTATTGATTTTTGCTGGGTGTTGTAGAGTAACTATTTGAGTATGATTTATTAATTAATTTAAGGTAATATACAAGGTGGAACATGAATTATTTGAATTTTTATTAAGTAAGACATAAAATATGAAATATGAAGTTTAATAATTAATAACATAAAAACTAACAAAGTTATGACAATTTTCTTGATAATATATTATAAACAAACTAATTGGCTATCTTTTCCCAAAAAATGATAAATTTATACCAAGTGGTTCAAGAATAAATGGCATTTTATTAAAGTAAAACACAAAATTTTTACTAAAACGTATTAACAAAATTTGAATATACTTTAAACATAAATAACAGAGACACTAATTAACATATCTACACAATTTTTACAACATATTATAGAACAACTATATACATAATTATTACCACTAATTTTGTCCATATATACAAGGTGAAACCATAATTATTTGCATTTTTATTAAATAAAACACAAAATATGCAATATTAAGTTTAATAATTAATAACTTAAAAACCAGTAGAGATACAACAATTTTCTTAACAACAAATTATGTACAAATTAATTGACTATATTTGTTTAAAAAATTATAAATTTATACCAAATGGTTCAAGAATAAATCAAATTTTATTAAAATAAAACATAAAAGTTTTACCAAAAACATAACAAAATTTTTA